TCAGCCCCGGCACGGTACTTCATCCCCCTTCCCCTTCGCAAAAAAACTAAGCTAACGGTTCCCCGTGCTCCCTTCCTTCCTTCTGGAAGAACCCAAAACGCGCGGGACGAGTACGGTACGGTACTCGAGTACTCGAATAGAGAGATCAAGGCACGTCTTGTCTTTTCCCGTCTAGGTGCGACATGTCATCCCATGTGGCCCACTGCCGGAAATGTGAAGGTAAGAAAAAGAAAAAATAACCCCTCTTAGCATCCGCCTCAAGGAATCAGAGGAGAAAACAAAAAAAAAGTAAATAAACCTTCTAGCGCCGTTCCAGAAGCATGAGCTTTTTTTTGTCTTCATGCTTCTCGGCTTGTGGCTTTTTGGTTAGCCCTAGATTAAGTTTTTTTCTTTTTCTTTTCTTCCTCTCTGCGAATGGGCGCTAAGCTATTGCAGACTGATACTCGAGTATGATACTCTCCACATTTCTCCGATACATGGTACCGGTATCATATGTACAGTGGTGTACAGTATGTGATGTGCTCTGCTATGGTTGCATATACCGGTATGCGACTCCAGGACACACGACAACGGAACCCCTCCGTCGTGTTTCTTACGATTATCCCATTACCGGTACGCCGGTAGTACGTTACAATATCCTGCTATGGAAATCTGTACTACCCGAACTGGTGGCCAGGCGCGGTTGTGGATCAGTGCGTATCGCCTGATCTGTACTAGTACAGTACTCATAGTACCGTACTCGTATTGCCTGTCCTATGAAAAGGCGTCAAGCCTCTATTGTACAAGTATTTGCGGGGCTTTCCCCCCTCCTTCTCCCTCTCTGCTACCGTAGTACCACCAGCTAGTCCCGTTGTGTCAAGTCCTGTCTGATAGATGGTAGTACGAACTCTAGTTCGTCGGTTACCGGTGCGGTGGGCGGGTTTTTTCCAACCAGTACTAGTGCACTTGTACTCGTACAAAGGGCTCGGGCAGCGCTACCGCAGATGCAACTTGAGTATCACTGTCTGCATACGTCATATTCCCTGCCAAGATACAGTACAGTGTATGGGTAGTAGATATGATAGGAAGCGCCCGAATATTGGACAGTGGATTATCACAGAACAGGATCTCGGATCCTACAAACATTATTGGCAATACTTGCCCTTTTTTTTAAAAAAAAAAAGAAAAAATCCCTGTAACCGGGTGCACCTTTCTTGCTACCGTAGCAGTGCCCTTCCTTTCCTCCTTCCTTTCTTCATTCATCATCGCCAGAACCAGCCAGCCAAGCCACCCTCCTTGCTCAATATCACCGAAAAAAGCCCAGATGCGCGCCAGATCCTTCGTGGCGCGGGACGGGCTCTTCCCCGTTGCATACAAAGAAATCACTCGACCGAGGGTAGAGGGTACTGGTATGTATATATGTATGTATGTATGTGGTGCACCTTCGCTTTCCCTTCTGCTCCCTCGGGATGGGGTCTTGGGGGGTGCGGTGCGGTGGTCTGGGCTTTTTTATATTGCGCACTTGGGTTACCGGGGAAAGGAGTTCATCAGTTGATAGCGACTTTTGATGCTTGTTTTCCTTTGGTTCGGCTTGGCTTGGTTTTATTTCTCCTTTTATCCTCTTCTAGTTACAGCTGATGTGACTGGCCCGATGTCTACTATTATGATAGTATGATACCGGTACTATATTATACATGTATGCAGGGGCTGTGTGCGCCTTTTTTCCTTTCTTTCCCCCCTTTGACATATATACCGATTAATCTGTGGGTTTGAAGAGTGAATTAATATAATATATTCGAGTGGGGGGGGGGTAGGCGCTGGTCTGTTTGGGATGCGGCGTGTGCCCTGTGAGCCATATATGGGATAAAGTGCTATGGTGGGGAAGGGGTGCAAGGCTTGGATTGATTGATCCATGGGGTTGGTAGGTCGACTCTTGATTTTGCAAAATTTGGACTTTTTTGTACATTGTGAAAGATTTCTGTATGCTAAGGTATCATAGTGCTGATCCGGTCTGATTTGCTGACTCCGATCAAATGGGGGACTCCCGTGCTGGGAGGGGTTATACTGTGGGCGGGAGTAGGAACCGGTACTCTATCCGGAGTTGCTGTGCTATATAGTATACGCACATACAGGACGAATGCCAAACAAACCTCCGCCTCGGTCTACGACAGACATTTCAACGACAAACCACCTTCACCATTCATCATCGTCATCTTCCCATCCCATCTTTCCCCTTTCCCCTTTCTTCTTCTCTCCTCCCTCCTCCGGATATCAATACACACCACTTCGCTCCACCCCCCCACGAGCAATTAGTCTCTATCATACCTCACAATCAGGTGATAGGTGCGGTCGCAACATTTGAGTGATCGTTCATGATTCAACTTTTTTTTTTCCTCTTGCTCAACGGAACCTACCCCTTGCTTGCCTTACCTCACCCCACTTTTGGCCTTGCGATTGATCACTTACCTGGTGCTGATCCGAAATTGGTTGAATTATATGCAGGTTTTCTCAGCTTTCTCCCGGGTCGCATTTTAGCCTGTGGTTATTGCATGCCGCAGATCATAGTGCTCTGTGATCCTACTGTGCCAGGAGTTGGGAGGGGCAGGGGGGGGATTTGTAAGGAAAGTATGGAGACAGGTAAATCTTTTTCATTGCCTTACTTTTTCTTTTTTTTGTCACCCATTTAGTTGCCACCTGCGGTTTTCCGGCGGTTCGGTCTGCTCGCTCTGCACCCCCTGTTTCGTTCATAGGTATACGAGGGTTGCTGCTGCTTTGGTAAACCGGACTCCGGGCCCAGTTTTCTCTTTGGGTGGGATATGACACAAGGGATTGCGGGTGGGTGAGAGTGAGAGTGAGGAGGAGTGAGTAGATGACTGCTTCTAGTCATGTCATAGGTATGTTATCTTCCTTCACAAGGACATACTCGGCAGGTGGGCAACGAGGGAAGTGGAGAAAAGAGGCGTGGTAGTGCAACAAATCTTTCTATTCTGAAGATTCCCTAACACTAATTGGCCGGAAAGGTTAACTTGAAAGACCACGGTGTGGGCATGGTACATGGGTTTTCTTTTTTTGGATTTACCCGTTGGGCGCATTCCTTCTCCCTCTTTCTCTCTCTCACCAGGCCTGGCGCCTTGGTTCCTCGGTCTCACACACACCCTTTCCCTCCGAATTTAGCCATCGGAACTACTCGATGTCACCTGGTTTACGGCCACGGGAGCCTATGGTGTTGCTCACTTGGACGATCAAACAAGGGAGAAATGGAGAGCGGGAGCTGGGTGAACAGAAGGAGTGGGGGCAACATGATGATACCTTTCTGGGCGGCAGCTGGGCCTATCTGTGTGGCACCACACAGCGTTAACAGCTCCGGACGGGGGGGGGGGTAAATAAGCCGGCTGGGACGCATGATAACTCTTTGAACGAGCCTTGTGCTCTCAGAGTTTCGTGGCAGGAGGGGCCAACTTGCCCATCATCAGTAATTTAGATGACCCGAGAATC